TACTGGACAGTTATCTGAGTGGGCTGGTGTTAATTGGTGTCCTGCAACAGCAGGGGTTGGACCCAATGGCCTTCTTGGCCCCTTCCAACTCTACTATTCTATGATTCTATGATAATGATGACTTTGCATTTATATCCTGCCTCTTTCCCTCTTATGAGGAGCCCAAGATGACTTGCGTAGCTCCATTTTATCCTCACAACAACCACCCATGAAGTAGGTTAGGCTGAGAGTGACTCACAGGCCCAAAATCACCCAGTGAGCTTCATGGCCAAATGAGAACTAGAGCCTAGATCACTTGGGGCCTCAGTCCAACATTCTTACCACCACATTATCCTAAACAGAGGAGGAGAAACCAATAAATAAAGCAAGCATCTGATCAACAATTCTTATTGACAGTGCTGAAATTGGATTCTGTGATCTGTTATAGGAATTATGAGAACTTTGTTCTTGTGAAAAATGTAAAAACTTACGTGTTAGATAGCTCAGTTGGCTTTTACATATCAGGACCTACCTGACATGGATCTTCACGTGATTTTTTCTCTTGAACTTTTGAGAAGATTCCTGGGAATGGCAAATCTAAAATGTGGAATTTTTAATGAACTTTTGACATTTGAAAACTATGTGGATCATTGATCCTGGCAGACAGTGATACTGTTTTTAAAAAAATCCTAAGACCCGTGCAAAGTGTTTTGAAATATAATCTATATTGAAGTATCACATTAGATAACTAATGTTAATGTTATTTAACTAAATAAATTCATCATTGACTCAAAAGGTACATTTAATCCTTCCAGCATCTGTCTTTTCAACCCTATTTCATGTTTTTGCATGTGTTATACATGGAACTAGATACTTTGTAGGAAATATTCAAGGCCAAACAACATGTGATGCTAAACATGTCACTTTAGGCAGATCAGGATTTTGAAAAAATGAATAGTAGGCACCAGTAGAGAAGGAGAAATGATACTCATCAGGATTGTGATCTCAAGGAAATCCTAACCAGCTGCTGCTAACTGTAGAATACTTGTTCCAATTGACACTAGACTTTTTTCCTCTGAGAAAGTTGAGCATGGTGGGGGAGATTTTGATCAGGATCATATTTGTGGAGGAAGAGTTACACTTCCCTTCTTGCATGCTTTAGGCATTATCCACCTACAATTCTGTCAGATGTTATTTGGAACATTTTGAGGCAAAATCTTGTAATCTGATTTACTTACTGCATTAGAGAGTTCAAAATGTTTCATGTACGTTATTTCAGTAAGTTCTACCACAGCCCATCTAAGTTAGGCCATTGTTTTTATAATCTACATATAGAGAACTGAGAACTAAGAATAAGAGCTTGCTAAAGGCAGCCTCCTGAGCACACAGCATAGGGAAACTTGGAACTGAGAGCTTCTGCATCACACCTCAATCTTTGAGTCTGCAGTCCTAAACATACTTATCTGGGAGTAATTCCTGTTGTATTCATTGAGCTTACTACTGAGTGCATAGGTACTGTTAGTCATTATCTTTTAAGAATTAGTGTCTCCACTGATGTGCTATGAAAACTGCCATCTTATTATATCCATGCATCTTCCCACTGCCAATGGATCATTCCTTCTAGGTGCCATAAGTAAACAGTGTTCACTTTAAAAGTAAACTTGCCAAAAAAGATTTTTAAAAAATTGTTTTCCCGTGAGCAATCTATCTTGCAGGCTTAAGTAGAAAAGCCTGAGAGGAGGACATGGTTTCTTGAAATGCTTAACTCCAAAGAGCTTCTTAACCTATTTTATTTGTTCTGATATTCTTTACTATTTTGTATTTATAGAGAAGCTGCATACATAGAAAGCACAAGCAAATTATTAAGTAAATGAAAATATGGAAGCTTTGATCTCTTTAGCTGGTTGTGATTTATTAAATATAAGTTTCCCTAAAGCCTAAAAAAATGAAGCATTCATCTCAGCCTGAGAGTACAGAACTCTCAAAGGACTTATTGGGAAAAGATACACCTCTTTAACTCATAATGAACTTCAGTGCTTTATATTCTCTGCTCCATATTAATCTCATACTAAGTCACTTAGAATTGTTTACAACTTTATACTTTGTTTCTCTGCACTTACAGAAACCATGCTGACTGCTCATAACATTCACACTGTTGGAAGTTGCTATTTGGTTGAAGTGGTGATAAATTGGAGGGTTAATCATTATTAAAATAAACTTTTAATTTTTGGCAATCCTTTTGTCAACCAAAGGTAGCCTTGAAATGTGGACATTATTGAAGTCATTTGCTGCAAAGCTTTTGAATTCCACATCAATAAGAATAAATGCTACAACTGTTGCAAAGTTTGTAATCAGAAGCTGTGTTATTTTCTTTCACCTAAGTTCAGGGATGTGCATGTGCTTTTCATTTATAAAATATAAAAGGTATAACCATATGCATTTAGTAAGGAGCAATTAACACTTGTCATTGTGTTCTTAGAGCTTAATAGTAATTCATGACTTACTGTAGTTTGCTGCATGCAAAAAAATGCCACTACCTATAATGTCAAATTTACAGTCAGAAAAATAGACAAATTTGGGTTATCTGACATAAAAAACTAACAAGAAATGATTTCTCAGAAAATAATTTAACTAGACATCAGCAAAAAGAACAATAAAGAAGAGAGAAAGGAATAAGGATGATCTAGAGATGGATTTCCTTGATTAGGACAAGGAGTTCTACAGTGCACACACCCAAAAATTAGTGTTTGGCCATTCCAGACTTTCAGACTATTCCAGACTATCGTCAGAGATGTATGTAAACACCAATTTAATAATTCTTTGCATCCATAAGATGCAGAACTCATATAAAAATGAAAGATGAAATCTGCCATATTCTATCCTTTGTATTTTGTTTTCTTGATTTTTGAGTGCCTATGTGCTAGATATACACATTAGATGAGTCAAGCCAATTGCTCAACTGCACAGATTACCAGGTGGCTTTAGACATTATTCCCCCTCTCTCTCTCTCTCTCTCTCTCTCTCTCTCTCTCTCTCTCTCTCTCTCGCGCGCGCACACACACACACACACACACACACACAGAGAGAGAGAGAGAGAGAGAGAGAGAGAGAGAGAGAGAGAGAGAGAGAATGTGTCAAATTGCTCCATTTCCGTAACACTGCATTTGGCTTAGAGTCTCTGCTTATAAACAAAGCTAGGGAGCTGTCCAGTGATCAGGGAACAAGATTTCCATAGGAGCTGTCCAGCTATAGTTGATAGGGAACTGAAGCTACATGAGGTGTTATATCAGCAATGGCTTGGCACAACTGAGGAACTTTATACTAACCCTGCTGTCCTGTCTCTTCTTCAAGTATCAGCAGATCCCTAAACCAAAGTGTGTGTGTGTGTGTGTGTGTGTGTGTGTTGTTTTTCCTCCATCCTCCCAAAATACAGCTCAGGAAGGGAAATGGTTCTCTGCAAAATAGGCGCTGCATGTTCTCATCTGGTCTTCTGTTCAGACCAATCTTTTTCCATGGAGTCCTGGAGGTTATTTAGTCCTGGAGAATTAAAAGATAGGGGCCAGAGATTGTTAAGTTATCTGGACCAATAGACTTCCTCAGCAAGACACCTTCCTGGGTGGTAATTACAGGAAGTTGTCAGTTTCCACTAACTCCTCTTAAGTTCCATAACACAGATGCAAGCAATGGGGTTCTTTTCTGGACTGAGGCAGGGTTGAAATTGGCTGATGACCACATGCACATATATATGTGAATGAAGGCTGAAATTAATTTCCTTAATTATATTTGCAAAACTTAGTCATGTGTTTATGTTTATTTATTTTAGTTAAAATTATTTTTAGCCTACCTTTAAGGATAGAGCCCAAATATAACTCAAAGTCAAACTCTGAAGAATTTTTAAATAAAGTTATGATCTGCACTATACAAAGGCTTTTCTGTAAGGTATGGCATAATTTGAAAACCGGAGATAACTAATGATGAGGAATTGTTAAAGTTAGCCATAGCTATGAAGATGTGCTTGGTTCAGACAGCTAGATATTGAATTTTATTTTATTTTATTTTTCTTTGGATTTGCACCAGTTTTGTTCCTGATTTCTGCCCTCACATGACTGATCCTAAGTTTTCCTCATTGCCATAATACATTGTTTTGCATACTTCCTGATGTGCTGAAATGTTCCTACCATTTAATGACTCATTCATGCTTTAAGCTTTCTGGCAGCTTGCTTTCTGCCTTCACACAGGGCAGCGCTTAAGTAAAAGCCACTAATATTGTGGTTTTTAAAAGAGAGATGTGGAGGAGGTGTATAATAACCATCACCTTTCTCCATCTTTGTGGACATCTCTGAGAGACTGAAATAAAATTATAGTATGTCACATAAACTACAGGCAGTACATGGTCCATGTCCATATTTAGCAAACTAAAGCTTCTCAAAGCTTGCACTGAACTGTGGCAAATCAGTCATTCCATGGCCAAAAAAAAGGAAGAAACATTTATGACAGGGAAGGCTTACACAGATCACCACAATGGGAGACCATGCAGAAGGCTGAAGAACATCTGTAAAGCAGAGGTCCTCACTGGATAACTAATTTGATAACAAGAAATCTAAGCACACCTGTAATGTAAACCTCTAATCACTTTTTTAAATGATTACCATAATATGGTCCATATAGTGTGCTCACCCAAGGGATAATAAAACCTGGCCCTAACCAGAAAGTTAGGTAATTCATGCTATTTTTTCAGCTGTTGGAGTGAAATGTTTCTCCTTTTGTCCTAGCCCCATCTAGAATTCTTTACATAACTTCAAAAATGCTATTTTCACTTTAGAATTAACTTGTAGAAAGAATTATATTTTAAACATTGTTCATTCATTCATTCATTCATTTTATCTGCTGCCCCATTAGCCATAGGCTCTATTGATGTATACTATTTTATTCTCTTTGCCAAAATTATTTGATATGTTTTATCTCTTATTTGACTAATTAAAATAATTTTAGTGCAGCTTCATTTGTTTTTCCTCTTGCAGAGTATGAAAACAGAAGAGGAACATGAATGCAGCCTAGATAAGGAAAGCCACCTCTGTGCAGTCTGCCTGGACGTCTACTTCAACCCTTACATGTGCCATCCCTGCCATCACATCTTTTGTGAGCCTTGCCTACGCACACTTGCCAAAGATAATCCAATCAGCACTCCATGTCCACTGTGCCGTACTGCCATTGCCCAAGTTTTTTTCCAATCAGGTAAAAAACTTTAAACTATACTTCATTGTTTATTATTCTTACCTAATTAGTACTTTTAACCAAGGCACGTCCTATCTAATTAAAGAGTATAAACACAGCATATTGAGGTTAGATACAAGAACTGAGCATTGCTGGTAAAAAAAAGTGCTTGAAGACATAGTAATTCTCAAGGAGAAGCAAGTGCTTCTCTTGCATGTCTTTACCTATTTCTTTGCATATAATTGGAGGGGACATTGGTTAAGCAATGGGTTAAACTTGAATCTTGGTGATTACTAGCTTTGTTCACTGAACTTCCTTAACGTGCATCCACCATATTTATGTAACATTAAACTTGAACTCATAGTAGATAAGATGCCAACTTGGACTGATGAAACAGCCCAAGAAACATGGTCACAGCAAATGTGCAAGTTACTTCATGGTCCAAGTATTAGTAAAGAATTCAATTACCATCAAAGCATATACACTTCAGAGAATTAAGGAAATAGCATCATAAATCAATCCAGCAGTAATTCATTATTCTGAGTTTGCTCAAGATCTCCAACTTCTGAAATTAAACTCTGGGTCAATGTATTATATGACTGCACAGAGATTCTATAACTCAGTGAGCTTTTTTCTTATTAAGTTTTCACTATTGAAATCTTCAGTATTATTATTATTATTATTATTATTATTATTATTATTATTATAACATTTCTATGCCGCCCCTTGCCGAAACCTCGGGGCGGCTTACAACATGATAAAATACATTGAAATACAATAGTACATAATAAATTACCATTAAATATAAAAATACAAAAAAATACATTGATTTACAAATACAAAATTAAAATTATCAGTATAAAATAAAAATATAGGAGGAGAAAGAGAAGGAAGAAGAAGTTGCCCCGGCCAGATCATATGTTTTAACAATTGAAATGATGTTTAAATAAAAAGGTCTTTACCTGGTGCCGAAAAACCAGTAACGACGGTGCCAGGCGGACCTCTTTGGGGAGAGAAAGTATTCAGTATTCCCACAGGACCAGATAATACGCAATTATGGTTCAATGAAATTGAAAATGTAACTTAGTCCCTTGTATAGCAGATTCAGAGATAATCACTTGGACACTTTTCTGAAAAGGACAAGTAATTGGTCCACAACATTCCTGAAAAAAAAATTGATGGATAGGGAAGACATTTGTATCCATTAAATAGCTAGCTTTGTGAAAATGCTGGCAGATGCTATAAAGGCTGTCTTGCAAAGCTGATGAAATCAGTAGTGTTGTGAATGTGCACTGAGGTTTTGGGATGGTTTTCCTTTAGATGGTAGCCCAGGTTGGGTGGTGTTTTTTGCTTATCTGCTCCCTACATGCAGTGAATGCCCTTTGTGGACATCCACACATGGGTCTTGAATAGAGTAGGAACAGGAAACGGCTGGCTCTGAAGGGCTTTCTCATCCAGCATATTGGCCTCTCTTCCCAAGTCCCCTCTCCTAAGCCTGCGGTGGTTTCCTGTTGTTTTATTTAAGTTTTTATTAAATATGTTCCGCCCTTGTCTCCATCCACTTCTTTTACCTTGCTACTTGTTCTGCAGTCAGCTTCTTCATGGCTCTTTCATCTTTAACATATTTCACTTGAGCATTTTTTGTCCATGATTAGCCTCCTTTGCCACACTAATTTTTATCTCCCTCTCTGAGATCTGCCATTAGGTATCCCCTTGAATGTCACCCAAAACTCTCCTCTCTGCACATTTTGATTAGGATCTTTCTGCTTTCCCATGTAGAGGAAGGAAGTGGAAAACAGCTGTTGACGCAGAAAATTTGGAAGGAGAAAAGGAAAGCAGGAGGAAGAAAACAGTCAAAATGAAGGGGAAAGGGAGAAGCACCCAAAACCTGATCAGGATGGCCTGCTGAAGAAGGTGTAGTAAAATAGTGAGTGAAGAGGAAAAGGCAGGAAGAACAAGCAAGAAAAATAAAAGTGAGATTCAGAACCATAAAACAAGAATGGATAAATGGGGAGAGCAGCATAAAAGGAGATAGGTGTCAGTAGAGTGTAAGATAAGGAGGTGGGTGGGTGAAATAGAACTGGGAATTGTTACAGAGCAAAGTCTGTAATGAAGTAATAGAGAAGCAGAGGCACAGCTCACAGAGCAAGGGCAAGAATAGAAAAGAATAAACAGCAAAGGATAACAAGGAAGAGGAGGCTCAGAAGCAAGAATGGCGAGTAGAAAGGGCAGGAGAAAACAATCAATGACACCTGGGACAAGTAGACCATTTTTATTTATTTAGTTTCCAGATGTCTAGGCCAGTTGTAGATGTAGATAAGAAAGAAAATGAAGATCAACAGCACTGGCACTCCCACTTTCTCCCTCCTTCCCCCTCCCTCTCTTTCAAGGTTTTTTTGTGACATATCATTTCAGATTGGGCCATGCTCTAAATCTGTTGCTCCCAATCTTTTCTTTCTTTTTTATTTCTTATTAATTAAACATTACTAATAAACATAGGCTTGTATAATTCCTTTCCCCTCTCCTTTACATGCAAGAAAAGCAAAATGAAAGCATCTGCTTTCAATTCTGATGATATCCAGGTTTTTCATTATATATTAACTCAGGGAACTGTGGTTTATTCTAAACTTAATTAACAATCTAGGAGTTTTCATAGGGTTTAATCCATGTTGGTTTAACTATGTTTATTCTATGATGGAAAATACTTCCTCCAGCAGAGGAAGGTTTCTTTAGACCATCTTCGAATGGATTAAGACATCCCGCATCTACAGAAGCACCTTCCGTCACAGGAAGTTCCTTCTGCAGAATGAAGAGAACCTTTAGATCTTACCCAGGGGCATGAAGGTAGATGAAAAGTGAAGCAAAAAAGGACCTTGGATGAATATGGAATAAAAGAAGAAAAGGAAAATCTGGCGCTTTTTGGGTGGGGGGTGAAATAGTTAGATACAATGTTATGATACTGATTAAGAGCAACAAGAAACTGTAGCAAATTATGTCTTTAGTAATTCTTAATAAAATATAGAACTTCTAATTATGCTTTTGCATAATATCAGAGATTAAGCTACAGCTTTTATTAGAGGCTAAGAATTTGAAATTTTGCCCATTCATCATTCCCTGATTCTGAAATAAAAGAATACAAAGATCAAGCAGTAAAGAAATATTGCCACAAAAGTTCATGGGAATTCGTTCACAGACAGATGCAGAACAGCAGGCTGGGAAAGATGCCAGAAGCAGAGTCAGTGGAATTCCTGATATGCATATTTGTTTAAGATTGCCTTTCATATAGCAAGGACCGCAGTAAATGATGAACACTCCATGGAGAGGAGTTGAGCTTTATAACCTTTCTAGGCTCTGTTTATGCAGTTTAAGCAGAAGAGAAAAGAAGTGACCACTTAAATTGTGGAAGCTATTAGAATTCCAGAAACTGCATTAAACTCCAAAAGGCAATTAACTGAAACTGTACAGTCTCATGGTACAACAAAGTTTAGAAACAAGACTCCCTCGTTACATGTGCCATTCTTCCTTGTCTGTGAATAAGACACTTCTGCTTTAAAGTCTTTGCTTATTCGTAATTTCTGTGTTCTCTCTTTAGATTACAACCCTCAATGTAGCTAAGACTGCTCAAATAATACTGTTTTCAAAATGGATGGGTAGATAGACATGCAGCCTTCATTCACAAAGTATAAACTAATTTATTCATGTCAAAGGTTTATATGCTACCAATTTGACTTTGTTGCAGTGGAATCCTATATGTATACTAAGTTCACTAGGACTTATTCACTGGTAGGATTGTACAGAATTGCAAATTTTGCAGTTGCATATTTCTATACTGTATTTTTAAAAAACTTATTTTGAAATTCCCAAATTTCCAGTCTGGTTTGCCAAGCAGCACAGTGAGCAAATTTTTTAAAAACCACAAATTACATAGCTCCCTAAATTATGGCATTTGTCTTGGTTGCATACATCTAAAATGCTTTCTGAAAGAAACATATATGTCTTCAATATCCCATCAGAGGATTTATAATGATTATAACATTGACACAACATGGTTCATTATAAAATAATTCTTTTTCCCTCACACATTGCAGAACTCAACAATTCCACAAAATCTCACTTTCCTAAGGAATATTCGAAATTAAAAGAACATTTTCAAGAATCAAGTTTAGCAAAGTGGCCCCTCCCTAGTTGCAAGAAAGCATTCAAAGTTATTGAAGGTAAGAAAATTGTTGCTTATAATTTTATATTAACAGTTCATCAGTTTGCAGTGCAATCCCACATACATAAGTAGCATTGTGTTCAATACGGGTTACTCTTAGGTTGTTGTATATGGAATTGCATATCTAGAATTCAGTATTCACAAATGCACTTTTACTTAATTAAGTCATAGACACTTCGGCCAGATAGGGGGATAGTGATCTGAAGGCAGAGGGATTTGAATCAGTCCCTTTGTCATGTTTGGACCACTGGTTATTGAGATTTAGAGTAATGGAGACCTTTCCCCTCTGCAACAGTGGGCAACCTATTAAAAAGGTCTGTTCCAGAAGCTAATACATCTGGATGATTTCCAAAGGGCCCTTTGGGATTTTCTGACTGTGATGCTGGCAGTTCTGTCAAATCCCTGATTAAACTCAGGAATACAAAGATCACCTGGGTGATAGACACAATCACTCCTGAGCACCCTCTCTGTGGGAAACATTGTACAGTTCCATGGTATACTCTGGAGCTGAGAGTGATGAAATAATAAAGGAGTTGCCTTGATTGCAAATAGAGGAAAACTCCTAGTAGGTGTAGTCAGGCCTTGAGAAGTGGCTATAATCAGGTATACTTGGGAACAGTGAGGGTAACTAAGGAGCAGCACCTCTCTAGCTCTACTCAGTCTATTTGCCATCCAGTAGAACTCTTTAGGGTCATCCAGGGCCAAGGAGATCTTAAACCACCTGAAACCTGCTATTTTATATTGAAAGTGCTATATTTGCTTGCACTTCCAATATAAAATCTCTTGGGTTTTGGAACAGAAATGGCTTTGCTCACCCTGTATGCCGGAGAGAGATGGGGGAAGCTCAGTTCAGACAAGACTGAGATGCTGTTGCTGACTGATTCCTCTGAGCAGATGGAGGGTTCTCTACCTGTTTTTTTATGGAGTTGCACTTTCTTCAAGGAGCAGGTCTGTAGCTTGGAGATTCTCCTTGTTTCATCTTCTGCAGGTGACCTCTGTGGCATGGGGTGGCTTCTACCAGTTTGTTTATTTATGTATTTATTTATTAAAAGCATTTTTATGCTGCCTTATCACAAAAGTCTCAGGACAGTAGTACAGTAAGAAGCAAAGCATCACATCCTCACATAAAATCCAATTAAAACTGTAATTAGATCTTAAAATGCTGGGAAAATGAAAAGGGTTTGGCCTGGCGCCGAAAGAAATAAAGTGTCGGTGCCAGGTGCACCTCTCTGCAGCACATGTACCATAACCAGGGTGCCACCACAGAGAAGGCCCTTCTCTAGGTAGCCACTCTCCTAATCTCCTTCAAAGAGGACTCCCGAAGAAGGACCTCCAACCCAGATCTTAGGGGGTGGGCATGTATATAAGGAAGGAGGTGCTCCATCAGACACTCCTACCCAGGTCCTAAACTATTTAGGCCTTTGTAAGTCAACATCAACACCTTAAATTGGGCCCAGACTTCAACTGGTAGCCAGTGTAAATGGTAAAGGACTGGCGTTATATGTGCATATCTACCGGTCTCTGTTAACTTCCTGACTGCTCTGTTCTGTACAAACTGAAGTATCCAGACTGTCTTTGAGGGCAGCCCCACATAAAGTGCATTACAATAGTACAGTTGGGAGGTTACCAAAGCATGGGTCGCCATTGCTAAGCTCTGTTCATCTGAGTAAGGGCATAGTTGATGGATCAGCCAAAGCTGAAGGAAAACATTCTGGGTGTCCAGAGGGAGCTCTGGACACCCCTCATTCCAGGACCACATCAACGGTGGAGTCCAGTCCATGACAATTTTATCCCTAAAGTGCTGGGCAAGGTCATCACAGAGAGCTGCTGATGGTGTGATGGGATCTATCTTAGGCACAGAGTGTAGTAGGCCCTGCACCACCCAAAAATGCTCAACTGGATGGCACTGTGAGGATCCAATGGAGGAAGAGAAAAACTTCTTCACCACCCTCACCCCAGCATAGTCTCGATAATGAGCTCTAAGGAGTGCTTGATCAGATTTGGCATGGGTTCTCCTCCACCTATGCTCTCATTACAATTCAGAAGTATACCAAGGCTCTGCACGGGCTCTGCATGGCAGGAGAGGATGCTTAGGAGCAATTGTGTCAGTCGCCCAGGTCATTTCCATAGTTCACAAGGGCATCGACAGGAGTACTAGTCATACCAACCAAGAATTCCCCCAGAACATTCAGGAATCTGCACACTTACAGACGAGAAAAATTGAGCTCAAGTTTAAACCTCATGAGGAAGTGATCTGACCATGACAAAGGGATTGATGTCAGATCCCTCACATCCAGATCACCATCTTCCTGCCCCGTTGAAAATACCAAGTCAAGTGTGTGACCTCTTTCATGTGTCGGGCCATTGACATGCTGAGGCAGCCCCATGGTTGTCATGGCAGCCATGGAGGCCTGAGCTGCCTCAGACAAAACAGCCTTGGCATGGAAGTTAAAGTCTCCCAGAACCAACATCCTGGGGGTCTCCAATACCAGGTCTGAGATTATCTCTGTCAGCTCAGGCAGGGAGTCTGTTGGGCAGAAGGGTGTATGGTACACCAGCAGAATTCCTAATCTGTCTCAATCATCCAACACCAGGTGATCGAGACAGATTAGGACAAGAAGCCTCATGAGGAAGATTGTATCTCTATGAATTAGGGCCACATCCCCTTCCCTTCCCTCCAGGTGAGGTTGGTGCTGTGCCAGATATTCAAATAGGCACAGCTGGGTAAGCCCCATGCCCCCCCTCCACTTTTCCCAACCAGGTCTCTGTGATACATGCCTGATCAACCCCCTCATCCAGGGTTAAATCATGGATTAGGGATGTTTTATTTTGGACCGATCTGGCATTCAGCAACAGCAACACCAAGCCTGAGGACCGGTTGACACTCCTACCTGCTATTTTCCTGTTGGAGAAAAAAACAGAAGAGGGGACAGTTACTAACCATCTGCCCCCCCCTTTCTTCTGCAATCACTTGTTGAACCCCGGAACCATACCTTTCCCTGCCCATAACCACCCCTATGAAGCTACTCCTCTGTTGCCCTGGATCTCCCATGACAGATTAAGATACCATATGCAAAAATATAAAAAATGCTGTGCAAATTAAATAGAGCCCCAATGTGATTGCCTCTGGATCTACTAACAAACAATTCCTGCCTAAAAATGACCAACTGCCAAACTGTCCTCACCTCCCCATCACAAAGGGACAGAGCCACTGACCCAACCCAACTCTGACCGGCCCCAAGCAGCATCAGTGCCTTTTGGCCACTGTCCTTCAATCACCAGCCCTAGACCACAGCCAGCAGAAGACGGCATGCTGGTGGAAACGCATTGCCAGCACCAGGCCATCCTCCACAAGCACAACCCCCTGCCCCAATTCCCACTGCCCCTGGGAAGGGGCAAGGGAGCCCGCAGATGACAAGCAGAGGTGCAAAGCAGCAGAGTCCTTGTCCTGGAGACAGCGACACTGGGTCCCAGTCCTCGCGGCATGACATTGGGCAGGCAAGCAGGCAGATGGTAGACGGTCCCTCTATTGTAGTTTTGGCCCCAGAATGGACAGGGATAGCCTGGCTTCAGTAATTTACACTTTGTTAATCCTAGATTAAATTACTGTAATACGCTGTATTTGGACTTGCCTTATGGAAGCTACAGCTTGTGGAGAGTGTGACAGCCAGACTAGTAACCTGGATCAGACAATCTGAACAGATAACTTCAGTTCTGGCCTGCTTGCATTGGCTGCCTATATTTTTCTGAGCTTGATTCATGGTTCTGGTTTTGACCTATAAAGCTCTACATTGCCTTGGACCACATTACCTGATGGAATGCCTCTTCCACCTATGATATACCAAGACACTATGCTCAACATCTTACTCTTTCCTCTGAAAATCACCCCTCAAGGGAGCCCTGGCTGGTGACAACAAGGAGAAAGACTTTCTCTCTAGTAGCACCCCAAATTACTCAGTGATCTCCCCACAAAGGCCCACCTGACACCATCTTTACTACCTTTTTGGCACCAGGTCAAGGCCACCCTCTTTGCCCAGGCATTTCTCAGCACATAGAAGTGATGAGTATTACCAGCAATTTCTTAGCAATTTTAGTTTTAATGACTATGTTTAATTGTTTAAATTTTATAAATCTAATTTTAAATTTAAACAGTTTTGTTGCTGTTTTTTTATTTTATTGCATTTATTAACTGTTGCTCACCACCCAGAGAACTTCAACTATTGGGTGGTGTAGAAAGTAAATTAATAAATAAATGACAATAAGTTTTCTAATAAATTTGTATTCTGTATCCATTCCTATTCAGTAAGATCATCAATTCAGCTGGCCACAAGGGAAGGTACACCTTTATGAGTGTTTGAACTCATTTATTTGTATACTATAAATATGCTACTTACCATTTTAAAAATTCTGAAGAAGATATATAATCTTCTTATACTTTCATTATAATATTATAGATATGTGTGTGTGTGTCTACATATGTAGACACACACAAACATAATATAATTATAACTCACTGGTTGCGTCCTGGGGCGGGAGCCGGATCGGACCCCCCCACCCTCCCTGCAACACCTGCCGCGCCGCCGCTGCTGCCACCGCTGAGGCCCACACCACGGAAGACCTGAGGCACGCCGCCGGGCCCGGGGGCCAGCTGACGCCGCTTACGCGGCCACCGCCGGTCCATCCCAGGGACAGGGACGCTGGGCCACCATCGCGGCTGAGAAGGGTGCCGCCATCTCGCCACCTTGCTGGCCGGCGGCTTCCCTGCGCCCGTCCTTGCACCCCCCCTCCACCGGCATCAGTGAGAGCAATGCCAGATTGGGGGGCGGGGCGCGCAGCCGGGCGCCAGCTTAACTTGCCGGTCGCTGCCTGGGGCAGGAGCCGGATCGGACCCCCCCTCCCTGCAACACCTGCCGCGCCGCCGCTGCCGTCGCTGCCACCACCAAGGCCCACACCACGGAAGACCTGAGGCACGCTGCCGGGCCCGGGGGCCAGCTGACG